ACTTTTTCTATGATAATTGGAATAATTGCCAGGTTAGACTATCTTTAGACTGACTTGTAAAATCACCAAGTTCAGTCAGGGTGAGGTTATTATTCACTTTATTACAAGATTTTGTATGTGATTGTGTAGGAAAAGGAAAGAACTCTGTTTATTCATTTCTATTCATTATGTATGTGTCTAATTTTGAAGCCATGTATCATGAGTTTAATTTTCTTAGCTTAGTAAGATGCTAAAAGGCAGTCTTATGCCTCCTGTCCACTCTCTTCCCTTGCGTTTCATGTCCTTGTGTACATACACCAAGTGCACGTTCAGTCATTTCCTTTCGTCGTGTATAAAGTGCTAACGCAAATAAACCAAATCACTTTTTCTTCCTCAAACACTGCCTTTGATTCTTTTCTACAACGCCACACGCTGTGGAAGTGCAAACCCAACACAACTTCAAACAATCAAGGATGCTATTAAGCATCATCAAAGTAAAGTTCGCAACTGCAACTGATGTGAATCCAAAGCTATCCTAACAGGAGACGCGGTGGAGGGTTGCTGACTCGCCTGCACCGGAATTTTTTATTTTAATTTTTTTTTCTTTAAACGCGTGAGCCATCGCTGACACTTCCACAGCGAAAACAGCCGGGCTTTTGGTTATCTTTGCAAACACACGACAGCACCGACGTCCTGTTTCCTCCCGCCAGGTGAAAGGTCAGATAAACAGAGTGACAGTGGGGTTGCCTGTGGGTCTTCTGGACAGGCCTCAGGGGGGCTGCTGAAGCAGGATGCTGCTGCCTGCTCCTCCTGATTGGGAAAGTGGCACAATAAACTGGACCTGTGGGGAAACTCTGCTTTTCTGCACAGCAGCTACACGGAATATGCATTCATCATGCTTTTATCACACACTTTCTTTTGTGTATGTGTTCAGGTTTAGCAAAATTGCTGTAAATGATGAAGTAAACCTTTTACATTCTTGTTTTTCTCTTCTTTACAGGTCATTCTGTTTGACTCTGTGGAACACATTTGTGCCTTTTGTGATATACATTTATATACTACAAGATGTTTCTTATTGTAATTAAAACATGTTAGGCAATGTAATGGTAATAGAGCTAAACAGTGGCCAGTCTGTTTAATGGGACACTCAGCTCTACAGAGCCTTTGGGTATCCTATGTAGCTCAAAGCGACACTATTTAATATTTTATTATTAAAACTCGAGAAATGCAATTATGCAAAAAGCCATTACTTCTAGCTTTCCTCGCCATTTCCTCTTAAATCTGCTTTGTGAAAAAGGAAGTACACCCTCTGGAAATTATTGACCTTTTTAACATATTCATTTGCAACTGAATAATAGTGGTGGAAAAAGTCAAAACATATTAATATTAATAAGTCCTTTTCATAACAACTTGAACTATCTAACCTTTGCTGTTCTCTTAGCTGTTCAAATCTGTTCATATCGGCATGCCCACATCTAAAGAGCTCTCCAAGGTCTTCAGGGAAAAAAATTAGATTGTGAATGTCCTCGAGCAGCGAGGGATTCAAAAATAATTTGAAATAAATCATTCCACTGTAAGAAAAATCTTCCACCAGTGGCGTAGCTTTCAAATAGCTGCCAGTTTCTGCGTCACTGACCACTCCAAAAAAGGAAAAAGGACGAGAAAAAAAAAGGGAACACCGACATTGATGGGAAGTAAAGCAGAATCTGAAAGTACTGTAACTCTTTCTAGTTGTTTGGTGTCAAAGGGCATTTACGAGAAAGACTACAGAAATCTGACCTTGGATTTACTGTCTAAAAGGAAGATTAAAGGAAAGCGACAATTTGATAAAGGGAGACAAAGGGAAAGAAAGATGTGCCCTGAGGATTATACTGCTGTATTAAAAACTATTTTCTTATAGTTTTCAATGATTAATCTGCTGGTTGTATGTGATATATGGTTGTGATACATGTAGTCAAGTAAAGAGTGGAGAAGTAGAAAGTGGTATAAATACTAAACACTAAAGAAACTCAAATTTCTATTAGAGCACATCTATCCAGCTGTTTTCCCTTATTTACCGGATTTAGGTTGGATGTCACGGGGCAAGAAGCAAAGTATACTCTGGAGAAGGCTACAGAGGTGACACAGAGACTCAGACCAACACACCTACGGCCAATTTTGGACTGTGGGAGGAAGACACATAATAGTCACAGGTGGGAGAACATGCAAACTCCACACAGCCATTGCACCACAGTGCCATCTTAAATAAATATACCCAACATTAGCTACATACCTTCCATGTCTCCTCATAAAGAACGGGAATGATTATGGAGTGGCTAAGTCAAGAGAAAGTGTAGATAGGCCATGGCAGATTGCTGCCCCTCCCTGAGCCTGGTTCTGCTGGACCGTTCTTCCTGTTGAAACGCAGTTTTTCCTTCTCACTGTCGCCAAGTTCTTTGTCATAAGGGCGTGTCTGATCGTTGCTTAATATAAGCGCCAAATCACAAGTATTGATAAGATGAAACTAAATTGAACTGAATGATTTGGGGAGGTCTATGCATGAGCCTGTGTGATTTGTATACAAGTTGTCTACAAGAAGTTTCAGCAAAAAAGGAAAAAAGCTGCAAATAAACAAATCTGAGATTGAGATTCAAACTTAAGTTTGGATCTCCCTTGAGCTGTGAGAGTTGTCTTGTCCCACTGCTATCCTGATTACATAGTAAATAATTTACATGCAAACCGCGCTGCTCCTACAGTCAGGAGGGCACCGTAATTTGGCATGATCTACAAATGCTAAGAATGGTGGCTACCACAATCAAAACAAACCCAAAGGAACTCTGCTGAACTGTAACAGCTTCTTCAAAGTAGCTTGGCAAAAGTGCAGTGTAGCGTGGAGGCCCATGGGCATGAACTTCGGCGAAAGAGCGAGGGGGTTGCACGCTTGCTCCACATCCTTCCTATGATAGTAGCTGTAGAGCTGTAATCTGTTTCCTGACCTGAAGATGGGCCGGATGGAGTGCTGGCACTTCAAGGACGAGTCCTTGAGCCCTCGGTTGTCTCTCAGGGGTCGGACGAATTATAAACTGAAACCTTTTCATCTGACACAGCAGAGGCGATTGTGCCATCCTGCGTAAAGCCTATTGTTTGCTATCGCTGTTGCCTGAATGGCTTATGTGTGCGGATTTCTTATTGAATTGGCTGTTCAAGTGTTTTTCGTTTGTTTATGACATTATCTGTTTTATATTCGTAATGAGATTTAGTAACTCCCTGGACAGCGCTTTGTTAGGCTATCATCATAATTTAACGTGTTTATTTTTCTGTGAAGCCGAAAGCTCTGCCGGCCTGAAACCGAGGGAACATTTTAATTACAACCATTCAATCACAACATTGTGCTTTAAGGTCAGAGAGGTGGCTTGCCGTAAGGGATCCGGAGTGGAAACGCATGCCCACAATAACAAGCAATGATCCTTTGACTCCCTGTTATTCAGCTCTCTCCCTGAGGTCAGGCTCTTCATAGCTGAGGAATCACACCATGTTCACATCAAGGAAAAATATTATTTCTCATATGTCTCATTAACAGCTGCTGCTTAATGTGTGGACTGTTCTAAAGGCACAGCAAGGGAGGAGTCCGGAGACACATTAATGCTGTAATGGATTTCCAAGTAGTGAAGCAGCACATTATCATATATATCTGACTGGACTTGCGCTGATTATTCTGCACTTTCCATACGATGTTTGTCTGACCACCGCAAAGGTGACCCTGACAGTTCACAGATAAAGCACACACCTGCACCTGAAGGCCCATCTCTGTGCGTGCGCACGATTACACAAGCGCACACCCCCTTCTGCCCTCTCTGACTTATGGTACACAGGTTTTCAATTTTCCAAATGCCTCCCTGTACGATAGAACGGGACTGATAGCGGCTCGCTACGGGCATGTTGTGCTCCTAGTACATGACTTTTATTCACACTCTGAGGACTCCCCGAGGAGGATGGATGAGTGGGTGGTGGGGGTTAACATGATTTGGTCAAGCCTAGAAGAAACTTTGTGCAGTTTAGTCTTGGAGGCATCATTACTTACATCTGACCCGTTGGATGAGTCATTACGGACACTTAATAGAGAGGCACTCCCTCAGCTTATGTTTGTTTAACATGAGGAAGAATTTGTGTCCAGAAGCATGCCAGAAGAGATCTTTCCTTTACATCAAATTAACAACCAGCATTTGACCTAAACACATAAAACTGCATTGACAGTTTGGTGTCAGAAGGATTTAAAAACATTAAATTTGAGCCTATTTTTGATACATAGAAAATACCATTCCTTCTTACATTCTTATATTTGTCTGAAGGCTGCCTCTGTTGCTTTATCTCGCAGTGGCATTTGTTTCCTTCCTGTGGTGACTTCAGTGCTCCCGTGGTGGTTTTGTAAGAATTTCTGATGGTATTAGGATTACCTGCTGAGCTATTTAGGTGTCAGGACGACTTTAAATGCTTTGGGAAAAATCCATGACAGAAAATCAATGCCAAACGGTTCTGCAGCAACGCAACAAATGGGAAAACCCACAGCTCCAATATTGCAGTGCTCTTATTGTACTTTTTTATTATCCTCCACAGTTATTATCAGCAGTTCTAAAAGTCTTTAATACAGCAGGATGAAACGCAAGACTTTGCAGGAAGGAACTTTGTCATGGATGTTTGGCTGACCCCCACACCCCACCTCCCTAGCCCGTACACACCACCTCACACGCTCACACCCCTCTCCACTTCAGCTTGGTTTATGAACTGGGTGGGTGGATGTGGATGCGCTCCCGTCACGAGCAAAGGAAAGGGAAATCGTTGAAAATCCCATTCAGTGCCTTATGCATCCTTTTAAACTAAACGAGGGGGGAAAGTGTGTGTGTGGTGTGTGTGTGTGTGTGCTTTTCCTTTTCCTCAGCACTTCGGCTATGTCCTCTCTGCGCAAAGCAGCCCACAGGCAGACAGCGTTCACCTGAGTTTCCCCCCCTTAACCCCACCCAAGGACCTTCATTGAAACCAGCTTCTCCACTAAGAGCCTTAAAACCAACCTGTCCTTTTTCTTTTATTCTTCTAAAAAAATTAAAGAGAAAGAAACTCAGCTCAAGCTTGTGCACTTCTGGACCGGAGATCTGGAGATGAAGACAGACTTTACGCTGTTCTGTCGGACTTGGATTGGACTAGCATACGCCTCAGGTGAGGAGACATCTCATAACGACTTGAGTCACGGTGGAAGTTTTGAGCGCAACTTTATTTAAACGAAAAACAAAGTGAGGTGTTGCACTCTAGGTTTACATCGGCTTTCCTCTGCTGTGAGGTGGATTGAGCTTTTAATTTAAGTTTTACTCGAGGTTTGAACAAAGCCAGGTGGATATTGATTGTGCGCATTTGTGCGTAGGGGCTACTTCCCGTGTTATCAGCGTGTTATTAGCTGCAAAGTTTATGCGTAAAAACTTTAACCCACTTTTAATCAATCCTTTTGGCAAACACTTAGAGTGCGCATCTTTTGGTACGGTGTAAGACTCAACAAGTCTACATGCAGATAGGCACTAGGGGGAGGCATGTTGTTGTTGTGTTTGATGAAGATGTAGCTGTTAATTGATGGTGCCTTAATCTCAGGAGATACAAAAACACCAGAGGATTCAGCTGAGTTGACTTTTAGTGACTTTGCATCAGTTGTGTGTGTAGAGCTCACTGGGCTCCCATATGTCGGTGAGGGTCCAGATCTTTTCTCTGCAATCTTCTGTTTTTTTTGTGGAAAGCAAAAAGCTCTGCCTGCACATGTCTTCCATTGTCACTTGTGTGTCTTAAAGTCAAACAAGTTCAGCCAGGCTGTGTCTAAATAATCTAAAGCACGCTGGTCCTCTACGCACGGTTTAAATTAGATGTATGAAACATCTACGGCTGAGAATGCTCGCAGCTTTCCGTAAATGACTGAATGTGGATGTTTGAGTTGTTCAGTTGCTGGTGAGCAGCTGTCTGTGAAGAACTTTTTGTGAGGGGCAGTCACCATATGGAGAGAATACTTAATGTCATTGAGCTGTGCCGGTTGGGTCACATGAATCCACTGAGAACAAGAACCAAACCCGAGTTTTCATTCCAATCAAAAAATTTTTTTTATATTTAAAGATCTGTATAATGTTTTCCTCATCTTACAAGCCTACTCTGCAGGGTGTTCATCCATACAGAGGCCCTCTGCTTCTCAACTTGTACAGAAAGCATAAAAATGAAACAGAATGTCGAAGAACTAACCTGGAGGCATTTTTCAAGTCTCACAGTGGGAACTTATGGGATTGATTGACACTCTGAAGTGGAGAGGTGGGAGAAAGATGGCAGTTTGAAGCTCAGAATTGCCGCTTTTTGAAATCACTTCTGACTGGAATCAAGTCAAGCGTCATGTTATGCTCAGCTGCTTTATATAGGATGCAGACTTGCTGAGGGCTAAATATGGTCTTGAGGTGTTGGAGATGTGGAGTTAAAGCAAAGTGTTTCTTGTCTTTTTTTCCCACTCGTGAAACA